TTATAAATGGCGAGTGGCATCAAGTTGATGCTAGCCCCATTGTCACAAAGGGCTCTTGCAAATTCACGCGCCCCGATAGTGCATGGAATAGTAAAGGCTCCCGGGTCCTCTTTCTTTTGGACAAGGGTTGTGGCAATAATAGAGCTAACCCGGTGAGTCATGTTTACCACCTCATTCTTTGTGGTCCTCTTCTTGGTGATCAAATCCTTCAAATATTTAGCAAACCCCGGCATCTCTTGAAAAGCTTCCAACAAAGGAATATTCACCGTTAATTGCTTTAGGATGTCGTAGAATTTTTCAAGTTTGCTATCATCAATCTTTCTTGCGAGCCTTTGAGGAAATGGGGGAGGAGGTCTAGGAATAGGTGGAAGAGCTTTTGGTGTCTCTTTCACTTTTTCCTTCACCTCTTCCCGGTTCTCTTTTTGCACTTTCAACTCGTCCGAAATCTTTTCAACCTCGACAACACTTGGCTCGTCAACCTCAACCCTTTGTTCGGACTCTTCTTCTTCAACCGTTTGTTCAACCTCTCCGTGTAGCACTTTCCCACTCCTAGTAGTGATCGCCATGATGTGAGAAGTTGGGCCACTCCCACTTGGATTTGCAACCGTGTCACTAGGGAGTGTTCCCTTTTGTTTTGGATTTTGCTCTTTGGAGAGGTCTCTCATTTGCATCTCCAATTTTTGGATGGAGGCGGTATGAGATCCAACAACCTCGGTCATGTTCCTCATGGAAGCATCGGATTTTTCTTGATTTTGCAACACTCGCTCAAGCATAGCTTCCAACTTTGATTCACTAGAGGACCCTTGGTTCGAATATTGACCCTTTGGAGGAACATAGGGGTTTGAACTCCGGTTAGAAAAGTTGTTGTTGTTCCAATTCCCTTGGTTCGAGCCACCTTGGTCATGCCTCCATTGTTGGTTGCCTTGCCCTTGCGGGTTTGGCCTCCATTGACTTTGTTGCCCTTGACCCTGATAATGTTGTCTTTGATACCCTCCTTGAGGGTTGTTGATATAATTAGCTTCTTCAAACTCTTCATTGGAGATGGGTTGCACATCCTCGACTACATTCACCTTTTTGGTTTGATTTTCCGTGAACATTTTTGTCAACACATTTACATTTGTGGCCAACCCTGCAATTATTTGGTCCCTCTCTTGATTCTCCTTGATCAAGTTGGTCAAGGAAGGAGATTCATATGCAACTCCGCCCGAAGTATTCTCAGAATGCTAAGCTTGATTGTGTTTTGGCATCTTGTCAAGTATTTGCGTAACTCTTGCAAAAGACTTGTCCATAAACGATCCGTCCGCCGCATTCTTCGCTATAGCTTGGTTCATAGGATCCAAACCCATATAAAATTTCTCTAGCAAGATGGAATCTGGAAAGCCATGATTTGGAGACCTCACCAAATATAATTTGAATCGATCCCATGCCTCATGTAGGTGTTCCCCTGGTTGTTGCTTGAAGAAGAAAATCTTATCTCGAAGCTTAGATTTCTTGCTCTGTGGGAACCATTTTGCTAGAAATGCCTGGACAAGTTCAGGCCAAGACCGAATAGAATTTGGCGGCAAGTTTTGAAGCCACCTCCTTGCGTCTCCAGCTAGTGAGTACTTGAAGACCCTTAACCTTAGGGCATCATCTGAGACATTGTTTTGCTTATGCATAGCACACACTCCCAAGAAGTTCCTAAGATGTTGTGTTGGATCATCATCAATAGAATTCCTAAAAAATCCCCCAGCTTTAAGCATTAGGATTAGACCATGTTCCACTTTGAAAGTTGAGGCACCAATAGCCGGAGGTACAATAGCATTTGTATCATCAATGTACTCATCTATGTCCGCAAAAGGATTTTCTTCCACTTCTTCCTTGTAGTCAGACATGTTTTCCTATCAACACCAAGCAAAGCAAGCGAAGAGTGATGGAATAGAATAAGACGTAAAGTAAAGCACACACTAAATAGTAATTTCAAAACCGTATTCCCCGACAACGGCGCCAAAATTTGATACGCTCAAATTACACTTTTATAAATTGTGTAAGGCGGTCGATGTCAAATATAATAACCCAACAAGGTTGGGGTTGAATCCCACATGGAATAGGTGTGAAAAGGTTACTAGAATAGTGTGTTACTCGAATAAAGTCGTAATCCTATCCAGTTAACGGTAACAAGAGTGTGAATTAATAGTGACAAAAGTATGAATTTAGTTTGTTTTGAAGTAACAATCAATTGGAATATTGAAGGTGTAATTAATAGGATTAAAGAAACTAAGGTTGTGTCCCCTTGAATGAAATGTAATGTTATCGGTGTTAATATGATATATTTCTAATGGTTGGTCCCTTTGATATGCAAATGATGTCTAAGTAACTACCAATATTTCCCAATAGTTGGGTAGTATTTCCTCTTTATAATTTTCCCAAATGTAACAGAGTTGCAATTAATAACAATCAATACATGCCAAATAAAACCCACTTATCCCTAAGCGATTTTATTAAACAAGGTTTAAAGCCTTGAGTCTTTGATATTTACTTCTACCAAATTCTAACCCACTTTCCCAAGCAAAGTAGAATTTAATGGCACTTGTTAATGTTTGCAACCACCAACAATAAATGAAGTACGAGAAATAAATAAATATCAACCAACCATTATATATATATGCAATGTTAAACACCCATTAATATAACACCTATTTAGGGGCCACAACCTAAGTATTTAGAGTTAGCTACTCATACTAAAATANTGTCAATGACAAGAAATTGGACCCTCCGATTTCACCGTATACACTAAGGAAAACTAAACAGTATCCAAGGTTTCTTTTTAATCAACCTCGAATACTGTGGGGCATCACCCTCGGAGGTCATATTTTCGAGGAAAATACTTCATGCCTAAGAGAACCTCGATAGGAAAACTTTGTAATGGGCCAAACGGTCAGATGAACTGTGTTCATATAGTAGTCAAGCCCCAACAGCAAAGCATGTACACATGTACCAATTCTGTTAGTATCAAAAACACTTTGTGTCTCAAAGAAGTCTACTATTACACGAACTCTACACTCATAATCCTACGGGAAACAGCTCAAGAGCCAAAGCATGAAAACACCCTGAATACCCGGGGACTGTCATCGACAGTCAGTACATCCGAGTCATCAAAAATTCGGACTTATAAGACCTCAAATAGGCACCCCCCCCCAAAACAAAGGCCAAGGCTAATGTGCTCGGGGACTAGCTTTTGGAACAAGTTCGGGAAGTTATCGGGAAACAAACCTAAAGGATATACCTGAAGGCTACGGCCATACTAAAGACTACGGTCATATGAAGGCTGCGGCCAAAGTAATGCGGCTCGGAGACGTCCGACTTCCGCTATAAATTAAAGGCCTTCAAACATTGAAAAACAGGTTAAATCAGGCTACCCTTGGCAAAAGCAAAATATGAAGGGCTTCGATAAACTCAGCCCCCGAAAAATCTAAGGGCCTCGATAAATTTTGCCCTCGAAATATCCAAGGGCTTCGATAAAATCAGCCTTCGGAGATACTCAAGATGTATTCAATTATTGTTACATAGACAAATCACTAATAAGGTTCCGAAATGTCGGACCTTCAAAAAAAACAAAAACACATGCTAAGGCATAGTTAAACTTTCACTAAGTATTTTAACCCGAAATGAGGGAAAATTTATATAGCCATTCAAAGAGGCCGAATCGGCCCGACTTAAAGAGCCTAAGGGCCGATATATAAGAGCCCAAGGTCCAACTTAAAGAGACCCGGACTCAAGAGTCGCAGTATCCCAAGCTTTAGTCGGATTGATTTAAACTTAGCTCAAGGATTACTATTTCTATCAATAAGGATCTAAGGGTTTACTATATCCCGAGCCCTAGCCAATTCTAGGGCCAATCATTCAAGTTATGCAAAAGAGGTATTCATAAATCAAAACGATATGAAATCCAGCGCAAGTCGAAAATGAGATAAAGAGTTCCCATTATATTTCCAAAAGATGATTACAGGGGATGTTCTCACAAGGATACTTGTGCAAAAACAAAATAAGGAAAATTAAACTACTCCAGAGTTACATCTTCGACAGTAGCATCCTCGGGAGCCGCATCTTTGAAAGCCTCATCCCTAGAGACATTGCCTCATCTTCTCCACTCTCAGAGCCACTGGCTGAATCAACCTCATCGGAAAGCAGAGCGGCAGTCTATTCTTCTAAAATCTTCGCCCTTTCAATATCGGCGGAGAGATCGAAGCTGCGGTCGTGTACCTCCTCGAGGGTAGCCCTCCGAGATTGATGCCTAGAATGATCAAGTGACCTCGATAACCTAACTTCTGCTGCAGAAGAGATCTCCTTTGCCGGAACATTAGCCGCTTCAACATCGGCTCGATACGAAGACATAATTGCCTCAGCGTCAGACCTGGCCTTAGCCAACTCAGCAGCGGATTTAGCTTTAAGCTCCTCGATGTCATAGCCACGAGCTAGGCTCTCCTCCCTCACACTTTGAAACTGACGTTCTAGGGAAGCTACCTTTTCTAGAAGAGTTTCTTTCTCGGAGGCAAGATCATCCATGCTCTGCCTCCACCCTAAGGTCTCGGCTTCTTATATTTTTAGCTCCTCCTGAAGCCACGCCACCAAGTCGGCCTTCTCATAAAACTGCAAAATCAAAGGTATTAGACGTCAAGACAAGCAAGTTCATAACAGGTCCATAAAAGGTTATATTACCTTATAAACATACTCGACCCGCCCTTGGTGAGCCTGTGCCAATTCAACTCGAAGATCGCCGATCTCCGCTTTTTTCTTAGCATAGAGGGCTTTAAGATCATCCCTCTCTTTTGAGACCTTTTTTAGTTCAGCCTCACATCAAGCAAGATCGATCCGAAACTCGGAAAATACCTTTTTATGGAGCACCACGGCCTTCATAAAAAAGGAGGAAAAATGGATTTAGAGACAGCGAAAGTGCAGATGCAGGCATAACAAACAGGAAACTCACTTGTTTGAAGAGTCTACGAGCCTCATCAAAAATATGATAGGCATCTGGGTCGGGGCCATCTTCGAGCCCCGCAAAGCATTCTCTAAAGATGTCATGACCATCATGGCTTGCTTCCACATTAGAAGACCTCAGATTCTGATCATCCCGGATCTGCCCAACGGAGAACTCGGGGCGAAGAGGTGAATCATCTACATTGATTACCCCTAACGACATACTTGGGGCGTTCTCCTTATTTTGAGGAAGCTCAAGACTGGGCCGTTCGGCCTTACCCTCCTGATGGCCTCCTAGGCGAGGTGCCCTTTTTCTACACGACAACTCTCAAAAATCTCTTCAATTCTGGAACGCGCCGCATCGACCATCACTGGTTCGACGGATTCCGAAACATCAACATTTCTTCTTTCACGAGCCACTAGTAGGCAATCGTCATCTTCTTCTTCTTCTTCCTCCTGGTCCCGTAGGCGTTTGGTCGTTCTCGGAGATAAAACCGCAGTATCAACCTTGGCCCTCATCA